GTGTTTTCTCCCCCCCCCCCCCCCCAAGAGTGCTGGGGTGAGGGGGCAGGGATTGGGGGTGGCTCAGGGGGCTGGGGTGGATGGGGACGGGTGGGACAGAGATGGGGGGGGCAAGCAAAGAGATCAAGGAACTGTGGGAGTGGGCAGGGCTGGCGGGGGTCCCCCCATGGTCCTCTCCCCCGTCCTCCACTCACCTGACCCTTTACTTACTGCACTAGAGCCTGGGTCCAGCTCCCTGTGGGTGGCACGCTGCCTGCCCTCACATGCAGGTAGTGTGCTTCAGCACCAGGGCGAGGGCTAACCATAGGAGATGCTCTGGCAGCCAGAGTCTCTCTATGGAGGACCCAGCCTCTAGCTGCCTCAGGACTGATCTGCCCTGCTTTTTTTTCCCTACCTGACCCTTTACTTACTGCACTAGAGCCTGGGTCCAGCTCCCTGTGGGTGGCACGCTGCCTGCCCTCACATGCAGGTAGTGTGCTTCAGCACCAGGGCGAGGGCTAACCATAGGAGATGCTCTGGCAGCCAGAGTCTCTCTATGGAGGACCCAGCCTCTAGCTGCCTCAGGACTGATCTGCCCTGCTTTTTTTTCCCTATGTGGGGTTTTTTGACCCCTGGATGTCCAGGGGTCTAATTTTGCCCCCGCATTGCAAATTTGCAGTGCGGGGAACATTTTCTTGTTCCTGCATGTGCCTCTTGAAACACTAACAATGATGAACAGAATGGTCTGTACGTAAACCTGATGTAACTTGCTGTGCCATGGGCAAGGGGGCATGTCAGAACCCAATTAAGTAGTGCCCATGTCACAAGCAAGTGAAACCATTCAAAGCAGTTTTATTTTTTCACTAGGTTAACTAAGGGTTAACTTAGAAATTCTTGCCAGTAACAGCTTTTTTTTGTTGCGCATGTAAAAAAAAAAAAAATATTGCTGCTCCACTAAGAGATAAAACTTAGCCTTCTTTGCTTTACATAAATCATTATAACTGGTCAGAGTAATACAGGGAGTAGCCCTAAAATAACACCCTAGCGAAGACTGCTAGATAATTGGCGATTCTAATTAAATTTATGATGTGGCAAAAAGCAATTGGCTATTACACAAATAAAACCCACATACACTTCCACAAAGAGAAAGAAGAAGGGGAGAGCGACTCTGTATACACCTGGAAACCTCTGAACATACGTGTTAGAGTAACTGGCAATTTGATCACTTGCCAGTGCCCCCTCGCATCTTGACCCAATCTTAGACGTAAATCAACGACCTGCCGGCCCGACCTTTTCTGCCCGATCACCGAACTCTTATGCAGACCAACCTACGAACCCTAAGCTGTAACTAACCAAGTATCTCTGACCTCCACTATTCACCACCTTAACGGCATAAGTAAACTGTCTTGCTTTGCAACCGATAAGCTTCCGCCTAATTAATTCCACTCCAAGCGTCACAAGTACCCACCTGACGGCTTCTAAGGTCCCAACCCCCCCGCTGCAGTGCACGGCAGCAACATGGCGTCACGAACAGGATCAAGGGGAAAAAAGTGATGAAGGTGGAATTAATTAAGAACTGCCCCCGGTGTAGTGGGGGGCGCTGCGTAGATAACGCGGATTAATTATGGGCCCACATCGCTGATCACCAAGCGAGCAGAGCGGAGACAGAGTGCATCAGCGGCTGCTTCTCGCTGAGAGAAGAGGGAGTCGGAAAGGAGTGGGCAGGCTCCGAGTGGGACAAAGGGAAGATTATTAACGTGCCGCTCTGCGCAGCGTCACTCCTGCTGCGTGAAAATGCTAACTTAAAAACCCAGTTAGCTACAGTCAGCAAAGCTGCTGCGGAGATGGCAGCATGCCAAAACCCTCCGTCGCCACCAGAAAATGGCACCGAGAAAAATATGAGCTGCCCGGAGGACCTGGAAAAGAAGGGCGGAGCCATAGAAGAACAGGCGGGACTCCACCCAGCAAGCCCACCCCCTAAGATGACGTCACTCCCAATGGCCCCACCTCTGTACCACAGGGAGGGGGCAGCGAGTGAGAATCCGATCCTCCCATCAGACACAGTAACAACTACAGCTGCCGCTCATCCTGTAGCAACAACCAAGCAAGTAACCAACCCGGAGGGTGCAACCACCACCACCACCCTTGACGTCATCGAAGCATGCATAAAGATTTACGGAGGAGAGGACACCATCAATCTTCGCCTTCTCCTCAACCTGCTCATTACTCAGCCAGCAGAGAATCTTTTAAGTCAACTTCCACGACTGCAAGCTCTTATAAAGTCAGCAACCGCAAACTCAGCCGTTGCCCTAAGCTATCTTACTGCATATCCAGTCGAATACCAAGGGCCAAGACATTCCCAATTCGACTCACGAAAGGAATCAAGACTGCCCCCCTAGAGGATGCCGGAGGAAAGAGCCATGTTTGGGTTCCTCCTAAACCACTTCATGCTTACCAAACAACGGCTACGCGTCCTAGGAGATGTGGGACAACGACAACTGGCACATATACTAGGCTACTAACCTCGACAGATACTGCCAACTGGTCCGGGCCCCGGAGGCACCCACGCCTAACAGCGCATTCCGGATAACACCGCAGCCTGCCCCAACAAGCAACTATTCGAAGGGGGCAATCGATGAACTATTCCAACCACTACGACATTATGCTCGTAGATGTACAAAAACAATTTTATTGTTTTTTAGTTTTCTTTGTTTGTTTGTTTGTCTGTTCATTTATTTTGTCCCCTTACAGGCCCAGCGGTGACGAAGCAGCAATCTGTGACTGCTCGATCGCGAGAATCACCGAGCACCAACTTACAGTACACCCGGGTTGACACCACAGTGGCCACCTGCTCATATGTTGCAAGCAGGGTTGTCGCTCTATTCCCGCTGTTACCAACAGATTCCTCAGCAAACGGAGCTAACTTCGAAACCTCCAACTTGGTCCTAAACCTTCTGTCATTTTAGGCCAAAGACATAACTAATGACTCATTTTATGGTTTTTCTTTTCCTGTTAATGATCTTGTACATACTTGTTTTGTTTTGAAGCCTGTTCGAGACTTTACACAGTGAAGCCAAGTCATAATGTTTTGAGTGAAAAGCTCTGAATTATTAAGAAAGAACAGCATTGGTAGTCTGAAGGTTTGGAGGATGTCGCAGAAAGGTCGGGTGTGGACAGAAGCATTGATTGAGGGAACGTGAGGAAAGAGATGAGGGAGATGATGATGGAAGGGGGCAAGTAGTCAAGGTTCTAAAGGAACCTGTACATTAAAAGAAAAGGAACAATTTGGGAAGAGAGGTAACAGTAAAAAAAAAAAAACGGTGTTCTCAGAGCTACAATTTAACTCAAGTATAAGCAGCCACAATTTTAGAAACCCTCCGTATAGGGGGCATTAATCTGATACCGCACTCTCAGTTACCTTAAAAAAAAAAAAAAAAACAAACCTCTAATTAGAAGAGATTGCATAAAATCAAGGATAACAGTTTACTGCGTTTAAGTTAATTCACGTGTCAGCGTCTTTGATTATCTTGTGTTTACCATTAATCATAATAGCCATTGTTGTATTTGTGTGTTTTGCAGTATCTCAAAACGAAGTTAACCACGCTTTTTGCTTTTGTATACACCCGCTTGCCAAACACTAACAATGATGAACAGAATGGTCTGTACGTAAACCTGATGTAACTTGCTGTGCCATGGGCAAGGGGGCATGTCAGAACCCAATTAAGTAGTGCCCATGTCACAAGCAAGTGAAACCATTCAAAGCAGTTTTATTTTTTCACTAGGTTAACTAAGGGTTAACTTAGAAATTCTTGCCAGTAACAGCTTTTTTTTGTTGCGCATGTAAAAAAAAAAAAAATATTGCTGCTCCACTAAGAGATAAAACTTAGCCTTCTTTGCTTTACATAAATCATTATAACTGGTCAGAGTAATACAGGGAGTAGCCCTAAAATAACACCCTAGCGAAGACCGCTAGATAATTGGTGATTCTAATTAAATTTATGACGTGGCAAAAAGCAATTGGCTATTACACAAATAAAACCCACATACACTTCCACAAAGAGGAAGAAGGGGAGAGCGACTCCGTATACACCTGGAGACCTCTGACATAGGCGTCAGAGTAAACTGGCAATTTGATCACTTGTCAGTGCCTTCCCGCATCTCGACCCAATCTCAGATGTAAATCAACGACCTGCCGGCCTGACCTTTTCTGCCCGACCACCGAACTCTTATGCAGACCGACCTACAAACCCTAAGCTGTAACTAACCAAGTGTCTCTGACCTCCGCTATTCACCACCTTAACGGCGTAAGTAAACTATCTTGCTTTGCAACCGATAAGCATCCGCCTAATTAATTCCACTCCAAGCATCACAAGTACCCACCTGATGGCTTCTAAGGTCCCGACCCCCCTGCTGCAGTGCACGGCAGCAACAATCTGGACATGCCCATATGTGTGACATCAAGCCCCAAGACATTGGATTCCTAAACCACAAGCTGCTACTTCCATGTACTGAGAATCTTTTTTAACTGCCAGTGGGCATGTCTACATGTACATTAATGTGCTGTAATTATGGTGCATTCAGTTTAGTACCTGTAACAACAGGTGCTAATTTAACATGTTGTAATCAGCGCTACTGCACAGTAGCACCAGTGCACATCTTTTAGGTAATGCTAATGTGCAGTAAACTAATTCTAATGTGCATTAGCACAGCTTTCACCATGACGTGCTAATGCGCAGTAGAATTAGTCACTGCGTTTCTGGTGTCTCATACAGAGGCACCCAGCGTTAGGTATCACTCTGACATGTGCCACAAACTCCTCCATTTAGGCTGACCTTACCTGGAGAATTCTGGCAGCAGAGCTATACCGCTACCCAGCACGTCCACAGGTGGCAGATAAAGGAATAACCTTCATGGAAGGTTACCTGCAAAATAAGCAAGGGTAACTTTGATGTATAAGCAGTTGTGGGCCAAGCAGCAGCAGGACCACCAGGATGTGGTAGAGACAGCAGATGGCAATTCTTTCCCCTCCTGAAAAGCCACATATATCCTTTGGTGGTGCTGTGATATGGTGCATACAGATTGCCACCCTAATAAGGCTGCCCAGCCTCCAGCTAGGGTCTACAAGTCCTCAATGGTAGAGCAGGCAAGAAAAGATGTTAGTATCTCAATGGTTGCAAAGCTGGACAAAGGTTGCAGCAGAATGAGAGCTCCAAGTGTCCTGGGCCCCTTGCCATTGGATTAAGGTCCCGTTCTGTCAAGAACCGCATGGAAGTTGATGTGCAGCAGCTTCTCCATGATAAAAGACATTATGCACTTCCATGAATCAAGGATCAGGAGCCACCTGCCCCTCGTGGAAACATGCTCTTGAGTTGCAACAGTGTCTGTCAATTCTAGATCATCCTTGTCAGACATCTTTGGACCCACAGATGAAACAAATCACGGAAGACAGTCAATCATCCTTGAGTGCAAGGGATTGCCAAAGACTATGATAATGACCTGGAGATTTTTTTAAAATAAGGGATATTTGGTCAATACTGCGATTTTCAAAAAGCTTTAGTCAAGGTCCCCCAGCATTTCTTAGAAACTAAACTGCCATGGGCTCAGGAGGAAGGCTCTCTCATAGATACAAAACTGATTAAAATTCAGGAAGCATAGCTCAGGAATACAATGGAGAATGGTTAACTGGGCACATGGATGGGGTTTCCCAGTGATGTGTCCCAGGACCTGTTCAACATATTAAAATTGAGCTGGAAAAGGGGGTAAAAAAGGAGGTGGCAAAGTCTGAACATGATACAAAATTGTTGCATATGGTCATATCCAAAGCTGATCAGGGAACCTTGCACGAGGAAGTCTATGTACTAAAGCTGAGTTACCTTGTGAGATTCGCTAGTTCCATCAGAGTATTCAGTGCTTCATTCACTGTCTGGTGCAGTAAGATTAGTGGTATCGGCCTACCGTGAGGGTGTTGGAGGATTTAACTAAAAATGGCTGCCAAGTGGTAAGACAGAAGCAACTTCTCCCTCCCAAGTGCATACTCATTCATTTAAGCTATCTGAGATAGGATTGGTATTAGAGAATCTGGATGCCATGTTCCTGAGCTACATGTTTGGACCCTGCATACTTTAGGAGTATTGCCCAGGTCATGTCCTCCATGCATTCCATTCCTGAGGCATGCAGAATCCTGATAGGGTCTTAATGAAACTCAATGGCTTTCCACCTGCATGTTTTATTATGAAGTGCCTATGGCCCCAGTGCACAGAGAACTAAACCTAGACTGCTGCTCTGTGCACTTCCAACACATCTTTATAAGTAATGGCACCCCACAAGCTTTTATGAGCCACAGTCACAGTCTTCTCCAAGACAAGTCTATTCAAACAAGTATGAGATAGTCTGAGTTAGGCTGTTTTAGAGTTGGATGATGTTTTTAAAAACAAGAATGCTTTTGAAATGACAAAAAGGAGATTGTTCCATTTGGGAAAAATGGGGGAGGGGAGGGAAGGGAGGGAATGTCAAGAGTGATCCTAAAAATGCAGAGAAATTTTCATTTTAGCCATATAGACACTGAAATTCACATAAGATTTTGTTGAGCAAGACTTACAACATGGATGGTAACTCTGAAACTCATGCTAAGCTGGGGCCTACTCACAAAAGTTAAAATAGAAAATACTGGTGCTAACTGCATAGTGCAAGAGGATACGAGTTCACGGCTAGGCCATCTGGGAAGAAATTATGAGGTATCCCTTCCAACTTATCTTACTATATTCATGATGATTTCAAGCAGGCTCCTAGTTGTCTCGTACGTAACTGTGTGAAATGTCTCTCCTTGATTAAGTAGCATGGTAAATATATCTCTTTCAATTACCTCATGTTATGTACAGGAGGAGTCATTCTCCATGTGTGATAGAGGTCTCCTGATTTACTTTTATTTTGTCTAGTGGTTCCCTTGATTTTCCAAGGACACTCCCCAAAACCTTGCATTTTTCCTGGTGGTTAATCAGTTTCATGATATGTTCCAAACTTAATAGAAATGGATAATGTGATGGAGGGCCTCCTCAGGCCGATCTCCACGGCCCGCCCTCTGTCTCTGGGCAACCGCCCGCTTATCTCACCCGCCACGTCTTTGATGATAATCAGTTCAATTATGTTGTTAACCAAGTGGGAGGCTGCCCTTCATACTGCCCCGATGCCAAGGGGCGCTCTGCGGCTCTGACCTCCCCCAATACTGCAGCCCAAGCCTCGCAGATGGCATCACGGTGTTCTTCCTCACCGGCCCCACACTGGGCCCCAGAATCTTCAGCGCAAGACCCCATTATGACCTTT